TGGTTCAGTGCAGAGGAACTTCAGTCCGTTGCTGACTTTGGTGAGTGGGGCGGGGCTCAGTCTGCATCTCCCAAGCAACAGTACCGGCTGATCAGGACGGTTGAGGTGATGCTGACTCTCTGCTGAGTCAGGAGCCCCCGTGGGCAGGTCTGGGCCCTGAGCATTTTGTATACAGTCTCCTCCACATACGAACCCCAGGGGACATGCGTTTCGGTTCCTCGTTTTCATTCAACAGGTGAGGAAACACTTCCAAAGAGCCTAAGGGCTGTGCCCGTGGCCAGCGAGCGACTGACCCCATTGCGATTCCCACCCGGGTTTATCTGGCCCCCGAGCCCCCATCCCCTGAATGAGGAATTGGGCGAGTGGGATGGGGACGAGTCGGGGAGCATGGGCTGGAAGGCTTGGAAATTCCAAGGCAGCTGATCCGTATCATCCCAGCACACACTGGGGAGAAACTGAAACGAAGCAAAAATAGAGTCAGTCAGCAGTCGGACAGCTGCCACTTTCCCTGGGAACAAATCTGCTTGATTTCTCTCCCCAGGTTAGGCAGGCCCCAGCTCTCGGGGTATCACTGAGAAATAATACGGACACGGCTGGAGAAGTTGCCGCCACTCCCTTCCTCAGAAAAAGATAAAGCAGACACCTGCTTGGTAGCATCCGTGTTGATGGAGTCTCGCGTACCTGAGAGAGAGCGAGGCCAGCTAAGACGGTGCGAGCTTTACCGACTGGATCCTCCCCTTGGGGAACCGGTCCCTCCTCCCCACAGCTGGCCCCCCTCCCCGCCCCGGCAGCTTTCAGAGGTGGCGCGGGCAGGATCTGCTGACTCTTGCTCCTCCTGAAATGAGCACTCCGACTGATCACTGCTGCAAGAGAGGGAAGACATACACCCGGAGTCCAGGAGACCCAGAAGCAGAGGGAGGGCTTGGAGGCCAGCCAGGCACCCACTAGGAGACACGCTCTCCGGCTCCCACCATCACAGTCAGAGAGACTGTGTTTCTCTCCCAGTGTCGGCGCCGGGGGCTGCGTGACCTGGCTTTGTGCATTCCGGTCTCTGCCAACCCAGGGTCCCTTAAGCCTTCCTATTCCCAGAGCACTCTCTGTGCATCCCGTCTTTAGGGGAAGCTGGTATTTTAGAAAGATGCTCTCTTGGTGTTGGGTAGGAAATAGAGGCAGGCTGTTTCTCGTTCTTCTTCAGCATGTTCACTACCGGGCAGCGGTCAGCTGTTGGAAATACCTGGTAGGGACGGTCAAGAACGAAGTGACGTATTTGGGCCTGACAGAGGCAGAGGCTAAGAGGGGAAAGACTCAACCAAGAGAATCGGGCCAGGGGCTGTATTTTCTTGTGGGGCAATTCCATGTCAAATTCCGTGTCACTAGGCCAGAGCGAGCTTATTTGTGAAGTGTTTCCCTGATCACCCTCCCCGGGGCAGGGTCAGCTGTAAGGCAGCAGGGCATGAAAATACAAGGCAGAGAGACCTAGAAGGGGCCATTCCCAGGCCTGAGCGGGTGTTGCCACGTCTTCAGTATTCCAGCAAACGTACTTGCACGGGAGACATTAAAAAAAAAAATGTTACTTAACTTTTTATTGAGGTTACATGCATAAAAAAGCACACATATCAGAAGCATATAAAACAGCTTGATAAGACATCCAGTGTAGCCGCCACCGGGATGGATAGAACACTACCAGCGTGTGAGAAGCCCCCTGCTGACCCCTTCCCGTCACTGACTGTCCCTTCCCCCCCTCACTCAGATAACCTTGTCCATAGACTAGGTTGACATGTTTATGTTTTTAATATAAATGACATCACAATGCATTCCCTTGTGTCTGGCTTCTTTCACTCAAAATTACATTTGTGAGATGTATTCACATGCTACGTGCAGTTGTAGATCATTCTCGTTGCTCTGTAATATTCCTGTGTGTGTGTGTGTGTGTGTGTGTGTGTGTGTGTGTAGTATCCAATCTCCTGCTGGGAGGCGTTTGAGTCGTTTCCAGTGTGTGGCTGTCATGAGTAGCGCTGCCATGAACATCCGACAGCATATCTTTTGGCGAACATCGGTACACATTTCTGTGAGTTTATACCTAAGTGTGGAATATGTAAAGCATATATTCAGCTCTGGTGGATAATGCAAAACAGCTTCCCAAAGTGGTTGTTTGTCTTTCTTTCTTCAGAATGTCTGTGCACCGGCTTGTGTGAAAATTCCACTTCCCCAGCCAAGCCAGTCCTGGGTATTGCCTGTCTTTTTTTATTTTGGCTAATCCATTACAGGAAGAGCAAATGACCCAAAAGGAGTCACCTAGCAGAGGAAACAGAACTGCTCCCTGAGGGAGAAGTGTTGCTGTTTGATGGTCCTAGAAGCCGTGGTGTGCAGCGCCCTGCATCCTAAGTTCTTGCAGGTGGAGTCCGTGGCAGAGCTGCCTTCGTGCGAGAACGTCGGCACTGCCCCTGCCCCTGGTCGGGGACCACCGCTTTGCTGCAGTAATACCCAACAGACCATGGAATAACTCTTCCCCAGGTGACAGAGCTTTAATGTACCCAACGCCAGCAAAACAAACTGGGCTTCATATTTGCCTGTGGGCCTCAGTAAACATTTAACAGACTATGTGCCCCCTTCCCTCCCCTGCCATTAACCGGGGCTGGTGCCGTAAATCCCTGCCCCCCTCCTGCCGTAAGCAGCCCCTCTCAGCCGACCCGACTCCGGTCCTAACTTTCTGGTGCGGTGCTGCTCCTGGGCCGGAGCCGAGGACGAAAGAGGGGCGGTTGTGAGGGGTCCTGGGACAGACCGCCCTCGACGGGTGGGAGGCCGCCTCCATTTGATGTGTGAAATAAGGGCTGACCCTGAGTCCTGAGTGTGTGCCCAGCAACATGCTAAGTGCTTTATGTTGCTTATTTCATGTCAGCCTCACAGCACTGCCAAGAAGTGGGTAGATGTGATTTACTCCCATTTTACAGATGAGGAAACCAAGGGTGAAAAATATTTCCCCAGAGTAACATAGCTAGTAAATTTGGTAGCGTGACTTCCAACTCTAACGTTTCAGCCACTCTCCTGTACTTTTGTCTCGACATTTAAGCTTCCTTTTGAACCCATCTTTCTCTTGGGTCTAAAAGCTGTGTCAGTCGGTTTAAATGGAGCAAGGGGACTCACTCTTTGACCTCTGGTCGCTGAAGAATGAGTAACACAGAGGATGGATGCCCTTTGGCGTGGCTGCAACGATAGATGGAATAATGACCCCCCAAGATGCCCATGTCCTAATCCCCAGAACCTGTGAATATGGTACCTTACTTGTCACAAGGGACTTTGCAGATAAGATTAAGGTTCAGGACCTTGAGCTAGATTATCTTGGATCATCTGGGTGGGTCCAGTGTAATCTCATGGGACCTTAAAAGTGGAAGAGGGGGGCAGAAGAGTTAGAGGAGATGAGATGATGGAAACGGGCTGAGAGGTGCTGTGATAGAGGAAGATGGAGGGAAGGGCCACTAGCCGAGGAATGTGGGCAGCCTCTAGAAGCTGGAAAAGACAAGGAAGCGGATTCTTCTTAGAACCTTCAGAAAGGAACACAGCCTGCCGACACCTTGATTTGAGCTTAGTGGGACCTGTGTTAGACTTCTGGCCTCCAGAACTGTAGGCTCATGAATTGTGCTGTCTTTTACCACTAAGTATTGGAAAATGTGTAATTGCAGCAGTGGTTGCTGTTGATGACAGTTGGCGTAATGGTCAAGCTCATGGGCTTTGGAGCCAGGTTGCCTGATTTCAAATCCCTGTTCTGTGGTTTTTCTAGCTGTGTGACCTTGGGCGAGTGGCTTAAGCTGTCTGGGCCTCAGCTTTCTCATCTCTGAAGTCAGATGAGAATGTTCTATAACGCGTAGGGTTGTGGTGAGGATTAAATGAGGATTCTATGCAGGGGGAACGTCCGGAACTAAGTTTTAGCCACGGCCCTTCGGGTAGGCATCCTGGATCAGGGCGCAGACTCAGGAGACAGGTTGGGCTCAGATTCGGGCTCTACTCTTCCTAGTTGTCTATGGCTATCTTTCCTCATCTGGAAAATAAGGGCAGGAGTCTCAGGGTGGCTGGGGATTGTATCAGATGGGGGCCAGAGCTTTTAGCAGGGTAACTGCTGTTCCGTAAGGGCAGGTATTGTTATCATGGGTGGGTAGGTGGCTGTTGAACCCCAAGCCCTAAGCATTGTGGATCCATCTGTTTTTTTTTTTTTTTTTAAACATCTTTATTGGGGTATAATTGCTTTACAATGGTGTGTTAGTTTCTGCTTTATAACAAAGTGAATCAGTTATACATATACATATGTTCCCATATCTCTTCCCTCTTGCGTCTCCCTCCCTCCCACATCTGTTTGTTTTTCAGTTATCTTTAGAGTAAGTTAAGTACTCCGGGTTAGGAGACCAAGGTCTCCCCATATAGCTATAACAGTACTGAGTACCTGGTAGGCGCTCAGCAGTTGCTGAAGGAATGAATAAAAAAGGAACAGGCCCCAGGCCCTGCCCCTGAAGACGTTCATAGCACAGGACAAGGCCTGGAAGGACGCCAAGGCTTTGCGGTTATCTTTAAAAAGAAAACAGAGAACTACTTCCTACCAGCTGACCCCAAACCCCCTCAGCTGGGACCTCTGGGCCCTGCAGGGGAGCCCAGGGCAGGGTGCCAGGCCTGGCTGTGCCGGTCACTCCCTAAGCCAGCCACCTAACCTTTCCGGAACTTTCTGTCCTCCTCTTTATAACGGGCGTACCTCAGCCCCTTTGCCCTACTTGGATAGTTCCTAAGGAGGAACCCTAAGCAGTAGAAAGTTCCCTTGGTGAGAGGGCTCTGGTGCCTGTAGGACACTCCCCCTCGGTCTCTGGCCTCACCTCTATTTTAGTGTCAGAGCTGCAGGGCCTTATTTTTAGTGATTCCCCTCTCAACGTCTTAGGTCAAACATAAGGAAGGAAGAGTAACTGCTGCTCTGGGTCCGTGACTGTAACAAGGTCGATTTTTCTCCTTCCCACCCCCAGGCTTGATCTTTTGACCAGAACGGAATTAAAAAGATGGTCCCTCGTGGTGGCCGCGCCTGTCAGCTGCGTGGAGCTTCCCTGAAGGCTTTTCTGAGCCGCGTGGATGTACAGTGATTCTCGGCCGCCTGAGGAATAACGCTGGTGGAAGCCCTCTCTCCAATGACACACACCGCCCCATTTCTGGATGCTAAAGGTGGTTTTGGGAAGGCCCTGGCTGAGTGCCTCGCGGATTCCTGCAGCCCGGGTGCCCCTGGTGGACGGAGGACTGAAGCTTCCTGCCTTTGCTGCCGACAGGAATGTTCGGTTGGGGCTCTGCCAGCTCCCTTGGGGGCTCCCTATGAAACGTAAGGCCCACCTTCTCCTTGTTCACATATCTCCCGCGTGTTCTGTCCAGCACCCACCTGGGCTTCAGGTGCGAGGTCACCACCACGTGGCCGGCTCTCAGAAGGGGCTGGCATTTAACGAGCTCGCTCTGTGTGTCTGGCATCGTGGTGGGTGTGTGTGTGGGACAGATGGAAATGGAAAGTTGCCTCCAAGGAGCCGTCACTGATGTTGTCATCGTGCCTGTCACCCTCTACTGATTTGCCCGGTTCGTGTGTCTGTCCTCATCTACCAGATCATACGTGCCTTGAAGGCCGGGGCCTCTTCTGTGTGGCTCTGTGTCTCCAAGACACTGTATAGTGCCTGGCACGTCTCCTGCTGCAGAAAGGGTGAATGAGGACATGATTGTTGGCGAGTTAAGACACTGCAGGCACCGCTGGGTTCCTGTGGAGCCAGACGGGCCTGGGTTGGAATCTGTGAATCGTGTCTGTGGAGTGACTCGGGACAAGGGACTCCTGGATTGCTTGCCCTTCTCTACTCAGTGGGGGTGACTCATCGTCGTCCTTCATAGGGTTGGTGTTGGTCCCAAAATAGTCGTGCACGTGCCGACACCCAGTGTCGTGTCTGGCGCACAGCAGATGCTCAGCACGTGGTAGGGAAGGTCACTCACGGCTGCCTGGGGGAAGGCTTCCAGGAAGGAGGGGTGTTGCTTGGGCCTTGGAAGTCTTTCTGAGCAGAGCCAGGTGGGCCGTGCTGGCCTTTGAACTGGGAACTGCTGGTTGGCGTGGACAGTTGATCAAAGGTCCCCGTCCCCAGAGCCCACGGGAAGGCCGAGCGGCCGGCCGGCAGCAGGCAAGGGAAAGGGGCCTCCTGTCCGCGAGTGGCCGGACTTGGGCTCGGCGACGGAGGACTGCGGCAGTTCTGCAGTTGACAAGCTGTCCTGACCGGGCAGCCGTGAGGTTGGTGGCTCTGAGGGATGTTGCCTTAGCGTTGTGCTGCCCACAGGAGAGTGGCGGCTCCGACAGCCAGTGCCCCGTGCGCTCAGGCCACCTGGGACCACCTGGCACTTGGCTGCCAGGACGGCACGAGGGGCGGTGCCTGGGGTTCGATTTTGGTTGCGTTCTCTCCGGTTCTGCTCAGGCCCGACGGCACTTGTGAGCACGGCTTTCCCTGACCTCCTCGTGGAAGTAGTGGCCCTCTGGTCATTCCCCGCTGTCCTGGTCCACAGCTCCGCCATGCGTCGTGATATTATAACCACTTAGGCAAGGTATTTGATTTCCTCTCTTTCTCCCACCCTAGGAGGTAAGCTGAGGTCAGGAGACCTGTGTGCCTTGTTCACAGCCTAAACACACAGCAGGCCTCTTATTTACTGCATCGTAGTTGATCAGGTCAGGTGGTGATCCACAGAAATCAGGTGGTGATCTCTTTCGGCGGCTGTGAAGAGGACAGACTAGAGGGAGACACGCTTTTTGAGCATCTGTGTAACTTGGTCAGCCCAGCAGTTCCCCCGGCGGACAGCAGTGTGCCCATTTTACAGCTGAGAGCGTTGAGCGGCCGTGTAACTTGCCCAAGGCTATTCATCCAAGAGAAGGCAGAGCAGGAGGCTGAGGAGGGTGTCGTGTGTGTGGTGTGCGTGTGGTGTGTGAGGTTTGTGTGGTGTGTGAGGTGTGTTTGTATGTGTGTGTGTTTGTGGTGTGTGTGTTGTGTGTGTTGTGTGAGGTGTGTGTGTGGTGTTTGTGTTGTGTGTGTTGTGTGTGGTGTGTGTGTGTTGTGTGTGGTGCGTGTGTGTGTGGTGTGTGTGTGTGTAGCACTGCCTGCTGTGGAATGCTCCTGGGGTCCTTAGGTTGGGGTTCCTCTTTGTCACCTGGGAGAGACAGGCTTTCAGTAAGAACTCTGTGCTCCCTGTATGGAGGAAGCAGGCCCCATGCTGGGCGGCAGGACCAGGTGTGGTTGGGGTCACAGTACAGCCCCCAGGGGTCCACGGTCTGCTGGGAGGAATTGGTGACAGTTGCTCTGCTTGCTGCTGTCCACGGCCAAGCAGGACAGGGAGAGGAGTCCTCTGGGGCGGGCTCTTGAGGGTCTGGGGGTCCTTGGAGGGTTGGGAGGTTGGGCTGGGCTTGCAATGGCCATCAGAGCTCTTCCTAGGGATGTGAGGGGTTCAGCTAGGCAAGTGAGTGGGGACACCGAGGCACAGCACTGCCCCTTCCGATTCTGCCCTCCCAGGCCCCTCGCATGTCTTCTGCCATCTCCCCGCGCCCTCCTGCTGCAGACTTGCGCCCTCACTTATCACATGGCCCGCAGCCCTGCTTTTTCTCCTTTTATCAGTTACTCCCTAGAATAACCCCATTGTGGTGGTCTGGGTTATCTCACGCTCCTCCCGGGAGGGGGTGGGTGGGCTCGGGCACCAGAAGGCACAGAATGGTCACAGCGAGAAGTAAGATGCCCGCTTTCCCCCCTCTCTGGCTGCTCCGAGCAGCTGCCCCGTGTCTGCGAGGCTGCACCCTGCAGGCACAGATGTAGGAATAATCGCCATTTGTTAAGCCACGTGCTGTGCAGGGCACGTGTCAGACCTTATTCCATTCCAGCCCCAGACCAGACCTATGGGGTGGGCACTAGAACAGTCTCTTTTAGTGCTGAAGTAACTGGGAGCCCAGACAGGCAAAGCAGGTCTCCCCCAGGGAACACAGGCAGGATTGGAACACAGTTCTCACTGATTCCAAAGCCGCTGGTTCACGCAGCTTGGAACTGAGAGACATAACTTCTACTCCCTTCTTAGCCCCCAGTGACTGTGTGACCTCGGGCAGATCGCCTCCCTTCTCTGGGCCTTGGTATCCTCATTGCTAGGGAGACTGTCTAATTTCTCTTCTAGCCTGGGAGTGAAGGCAGCAGCACTTACTCTGGGAAGACAGGTGTAGGCCAGGATGCCTCTGGTGCTGTCGGTCCTGGTGGGCCTGGCGCTGCTGCTATGCTGCCATTTTCTGGGTCCACATCGGCTCCTCCAGTTTTTCCTTTGCAATTGTGTGGCCAGTTCGCATTTCTGCTTGGCCTAATACCATCTCACAAGTCTGTTTTTAGCTGCTTGGAAGAACCCATTTTTCTTTGAGCCCTGTTACCCCAGGCTGCTGCTAGAGCATGCCCGACCTTTTTTTTTCTAAAATTTAATTAACTGATAGGCCCTTGTGGTGATTGATAGCACACATTCTAGTTGACGGGGGAGGGTCTGGGGGATGCAGGGCTGCCCCCCACCTCCACGGACACCTCACCCAGCATTCCTGGAGATGGCTTAGCAGCCTGGACCTGTTCTCCCATGGCGGGGCCTGGGCTCCACACAGGCTGAGTCTGGAGACCAGGCTTGTCACTGAACAGCCATGGGGTTGCTTAACGGATGGTGTTTATCAAAGCTTGATTAATCTTCCAACCTGGGGAAGTGGGTGGAACCCCACTTTTACACATGAAGAAACTGAGGTTCAGAGAGATCCAGAAAACTACCAAGATTATCTCAGGAGAGCGCGGAGAAGCTGGCATGCCCTTCTATCTGTCAGCATTCAGCCTCCCTGCTCCTGCTTGGCCTGTGGTTCTCAAGAGTGCAGTGAGGTGTACAAGGTGCCTCTAGGTTATAGAGGGGCAAACTTAAAAAAAATTGTTTTATATTTATTTTAACTTGAATTAGAAAAAGACCATGATTGGCATAGGAGACGTGTGATTTTTCGGATATTACTGCTTAGGATGTAGTTATGTAAGTTACAAAAAGGTCAGTTTTGCAAAAATGTTAAGGTAGCAACATGTGGACACAGCCCTCCTGCAGAGCGCTGAATTTGGAGCACGTGTCCTTGCTTCGACTGGTGGCACTTTGGCTGTGTGGCCCCGGCCACATCACTGGAGACAGAGTGTTCCTCAGACTGACCTGAGTAGCTCTATGTCACTGTGCTGTTTAGTCCACTGTGATCCTCCCTAAATCCAGAAGATTCATGATGAAACGATTGCACAGCTCAGTCTGAAGCTAGATTGAAAACAAAAAGAATCTCGGAATGATAGTGCTTTGTAATCCTATAATTCTGCTCCAATTGACAAAGTCAGCTGATCTCAGCTCTGCCAACTCTATTCTACTTATTGAGCACCAAAGTTTTCCAATCAACTCCTGTATTACTCTCTGGGAGTGGATTATGAAGTAGTAAATATCACCACTATGCAATCAATCCATGACTCATTCATTCATGTTTTTTCCATTCATTTCTCCTCAGTAAATAGGGGATAAATACTACCTACCCTATGGGCTTATTGTGAGAATTAAATAAGAGATCATACTGAAGGGCTTACTTCAGTGCCTGACATATAATCAGCACTCAGGGATTATTCACTATTTTTAAACCAAGTGTTAAAATGGAGTTAGAGGATCAAAACATACAGACCTATGGAAATAAAGACCATTGAGGATGCGTGAGTTACTAATATTGAACAGTAACTTTAGTTCTGAGTTCCTGGTTAGCAGGACACACTGACTAGATTATATTTGTGTCTAACTCAAGGCTTGGCAAACCTTTTCTCTCCAGGGTTGAGTAGTGAATATCTTTGGCTTTGTGGGCTGTACAGTTCTGTCACTACTAGTCAGTTCTGCCTTTGTGTCTGGAAAGCAGCCATAGACAGTATGTAGATGAATGGACATGGCTGTGTTCCCATAAAACTTTATTTATAAGAACTGGCAATAGGGACTTCCCTGGTGGTGCAGTGGTCAAGAATCCCCCTGCCAATGCAGGGGACACGGGTTCGAGCCCTGGTCCAGGAAGATCCCACGTGCTGTGGAGCATCTAAGCCCGTGCGCCGCAACTACTGAGCCTGCACTCTAGAGCCCGTGTGCCACAACTACTGAAGCGAGCCACAACTACTGAAGCCCACACGCCTAGAGCCTGTGCTCCGCAACAAGAGAAGCCACCACAATGAGAAGCCCGCGCACTGCAACAAAGAGTAGCCCTTGCTCGCCGCAACTAGAGAAAGCCCGCACCAGCAATGAAGACCCAATGCAGCC